AAAAATGAAAAATGCAATGTATTCCCAAAATCTAAATTGTAACCAATCTTAGTAAACAGCTGTTTTCACAAAAACAGATTCTTGGTTGCTGTACAGTTTAGTTTTAGTTTTGCTTGGTTTTATTGTGTAGAAAAGCAGATAGCGGCCTTTTGATTGGATTGATGCTCCCAAAAAAGTATGAATATAAATTTGAATTAAAGCAAAAAATATATATAGTGGTGTTTTTTTTACTTTGCCTGAAATATGTGGTAAACTAGCATGTTGGTGAACTCTATAGAAATTTTAAGCTTCCACAACTTCAAGAATCACACAGTGATTACGGCTGTGAGGACTGAATGAGGTAATATATGCAAAGGGTCTGGAACATTGCCTAGCATGTGATTTTAGATGAATTCTCTCTAAGAATATACTCAGAACTATTTCTATTCAAAGGTGTGCAACTAACCAGTAGTGAATGTAGATGACTTGGTATTTGCAAATGAAAAACCAAATGTTTAATTTAATGGAAACTTTCACAAATGTCCACTGAGAAACTTGGAGTTAAAAGGATTTTTCCAAGATACCTTATAAGCAGAATTATAACGTCATTTTTAATTTAATAGCTCAAAGGAACCAACTACAAATACATCAGAAAAAAATGTTTATAGCTTTATAAGGATATTTCTAACCATTTGTAGAGCTCAAGACTAAATTTCAATTAATGTTTGTTACAGATCTATTGAAAAAAGCTACTCTATTGACTAAGTGAATTGCTAGTTTAATAAGAGCTACATTTTTTTTACTGTATTCATTAATAAATTGTTTAGATTGAATAAATTGGTCAAAATTTCTCAAAATACTATTTCATACTTGGGAAATACATGTGTGCATGCACACGCATACACACACACACACACACAAAATTCTAATCAAAGCTAAGATTTAAAGGTTCTGGAGCTATTCCTATAAAATGAAATGTAAATTTGTTGGTCTCCTCTACTGGCAATATTAATTGATGCAATGCATTAAATACAACCTACAGGTAGTGATCTGAAGTGGGGTGTAGTTACACATATAAAAAATGTTCTTCATATAAAAACAAATATAGAATATTTCAACTAAATATAATTGAGAACAGAGGTCTAAATAAGTTGGAAAGTTAAGAATTTTAAAGAAATAACATGATACAAAATTCTTAATAAGTAGAAGATATTGAATAATTATTGAATGTCCCCTTCCCCAAATGCCTTTTACATGAACTTGATCTATTTTAATGCTTTAATCATGATGCATATGCCTTGATAGAATCATGACTGTTAGGCATTTCAATATATACTTATGTGTGTGTAATTAGGAAGTTAAAAAGAGAAAATGCTTCACATAGTTTAATTAGCAACAGCTCATTATTCTGATGGGTTCTCTCCTTTTGTTTTTGAGGCTCTAAATTTGTCTTTGAATTTGGTAAAATTATGACTCCTTAACACGAATGAAAAACATAAGTATTTTTATATAATGTTGAAAACACAAGATTATGAATATTAAAAATATTTATTAAATACTGAATTTCATTTTTTAAAGCATGATACAAGAGGAAAATATCATAAGTTGTCTTTTCTTTCCATGTCATTATTAGTGATTTGGATACAGTGTGTTGGGTTCCCAAGCAGATACTAAAAATAACTGCACCTTGCCTATCCAGTGTGGCTCAGTGGTTGAGTGTCGACCTGTGCACCAGGAGGTCCAGGCTGGATTCGGGTCAGGGAACATCCTAGGTTTTGGCTCAGTCCCCAGCAGGGGGCGTGCAGGAGGCAGCTGATCGATGTTTCTCCCTCTCCCTCGCTCTCTCTCTAAAAAATCAATTAAAAAAAACCAAACATATTAAAAAAAAAAACCAGCACCGTTCACAACTTAATTTTATGAATATACATATTTTCAATTAATAACAGGGAAGCCCAAGGTGCCTATGAAACCTCAATTAAAAGGAAAATAAATGCAATACAGGGTAGCAATGGGTTAGCTCAGGATTCCTTTGAAATTCTGAATCTTTTTATATGAAAACAATCAGACAATAGCTTCAAAATATGCTGATGAATGTAAGAATGCTGATGAATGTAAGAATGCCAGAAGACTAATAACAGAAACAACCTGTGTAATAAACCTATTAATATGGATCCATGTTCCAAATTAAGTAATAAACATTTTAGTGTTTCACAGGCATTGTCTGAGTGTATCAATATGGGACACTTGTAAAAAATTCTTAATAGATGCCTGAAGAACCATGACTTTGCAGAAGGTGGCCTATGCTCCTTCCCTTTAACGTCAAGGCTTCTTCGGGTGAACTCCCTTGCTCTCCCATTGGAGTGGTGACAGACCATGCCAACTCCAGTATCCACAGAACCCACAGAGCTTTGGTGCCCACTGGATTCTATGATATCATGGCAGAGTTTAGTTCCCTCAACCAGGAATATAAAAAGAGCCACATCATAAACACATGAGAAATATATATAAGAAAAATAAGAGTGAAATAATAGCTGTGTTCTTTTAAAATAAACTATGAAACTTTTAAGAAAAATGTGGCTCAAAGGGATCAGTTATCCAAACCTGAGATAAATTCAAAATACGGAGATCCCTGAAAAGATTGTTAAATATGTATTAAGATTGCCACTTAAAAAATCACTGAAGGTTGAAAAAACATTAAGTGGTTATATTATTTCCAGTTTTATATTCAAACGAACAGGAGCACAGATAGGAGAAAAGAGAGAAACAGCCACCATCTCAGCACAGTAGTGATCTAATAGGTAATTAATTAACTCTCAGTGCTAAATTAATTTATATGGTCCATTTAGTCTTTGCTTTTAAGTCTTTCGTAAGAATGAGATGTACTTTAATTTTTAATTCAATTCTGTGGATGTGATGTGAGTGGTATTAACACCCTCCCCGATGTATGACACACAGTAGGAGGTAAAAAATATTTGTTGAGTAATTACCTGAATCAGAGCAGTAGCTATACAAAAATGAGATTATATTTCTATATATGTACATGTATTTCTCTACATTTTGTACATACTATAACCCTTTATAAATGTACAACTACATAAAATAGGCCCAATATTATGATCCAAAGAGAACACTGTTAATATGTTAAAAATGTGTTTCCGGAAAAATTAGTCATTTTAACATGTGACTTTGAATTGTATTTTTAAAGTGGTTTATGGAAAAGAGAATAGTTGTAAAGACTATGGTTTTATAATTTAAAATCCTTTTCCATGGAGCATCCTCTTTCTCTCCGACAAGACCAACAGCTCCCTTTGATTTATCTAAACTTTAAAAGATTAACAAGTGTGTGAAAAATTCACCAACGTTAGAGAAATAATAGCAAAGCCTGATCATAGAATTTAAACTGCAAGGATGCCATCATGCTCAAGTAAGATTTTAACAATTAAACCTAAAAATAAAATAACAATAATGATAACTTTTCTGGTCAATCTACAATTAATTTTAATAAAATGGAGGCCATCAATGTAGGTGCAACCCTTTGCCAAAAGTATGGATGAGTCTTTTCTTTTGTCCTGCAGAAACTGCTATTTACAATTATTTTTACATATCTACATATTTATAAATTTATAATTTATAGTCAGACATTAAAGGGCCAATGCAGAACTCCTAAGAACAATATTTCTGAAGTGTCTAGTAATGGCACACCCTGCAGAGCATTTTAATGGCTTGCGTCAGGCACTCACACTATTGCCCACTTCCCTGAACGACACAGAAGGGCCAGGCTGTATTTTGAGGCGGAAGAAAATAGAATATCTTCCATTTCAACGTATAATAAAGTGTACATTTTAAAACTATTTAGATAATAAATAAGGTGTTACTGAAAGGGATTAAAGAAATACATTTATTGGCTCATATAACAATTTTATTTTATTAAGGATGATGGATTACCTTTTGTGAGAATGTTTAATGTCAAGGCTGTCTACAGGGTGAATTCTGTTAATAAGATGCATTTGTGACCTTGGTAATAAGACAATCATGCAAAGCACGTAATAAAATCACACTAAAACAAAGAGAAAAAAAATTAGACAAAGCAAAGGAATAGCAATTTTTTGTTGTGACTTTGCTTATTTCAATAAGATAATCTTTTTATTGATTTTATGAATGTACCTATTTATGCACTATACTGAAATACTGTACAAAACTGCAAGAAATGCCACTATTTGACTACTTGTGTTTCTACAAAAACACCATCATAAAGGTGTATCTATTCGTAAAAGTCAACTAATAACTGCTAATGTATATGTGAATCAAAGGATCTTAAGTCTGCCAAAAAACATTGAATTTAGGCATAAGACACAATTGTTAACTTCTATTAACATACTTGAGGGGCATAAAGAGTATTTTTTAAATATTAGAAGAAAAATAAATTTTATCCATAAATAATTAGCAATTATATAAAATAGAAAATTTGGGGTTTTAATTTAGCTACGTGTTTGTGTGTGTATGTGTTCAAATTTAGCTGAGAGTGTGTGTGTGTGTTTGTGCATGTGAATTAATTCTCAATCTGTTGGTGATGCTTTGAAGTTTCAGTTTAAAAATGTTCAACTCTTACCAAAACCTCTTCTGGTATACAAAGCTGTTGTAAATTTGAGTCAGTGAAATTTAAAGTTGCAATTTACAAAAGCGGATTTACATTCATTCTTATCTGAAAGTGCTGCTTTCAAGACAGAAAAATGTGCCAATGAACTGCCCTTTCCATTGTAATCAGTGGCTTCTGAGTCCTGATGAGAAGAAGCCTTAAGGCAGAATTTGCAGTAAACAGGAAAGAAGAGAATTATATAAGTGTCCATCTAAATATCTATATGCTGTGACACCTATGAATTCTCATTGGTGGGAGTTTTTGGCACAATTTTCTAATCCAATATGAATGTTGCTCCACAGCAGCCAAACTGGGTGCTTCCTCCAGTCTCCAGCACCAAGAAAAGTTAGCCGATCAATTTCAAAACAACACGTACTGGAAAGAGTAAGACACATTTCATTTTACTTCTTTTAATTTAAGATAGTTTTCAATGATTAAAATGATCTTTAGGAGTTCAATTATTACTTCTGAATAAACTCTGATGCTAAAAATATAATGCATGACATTCTGATAGTTACTATATTCTAGGCAGAACTGGCATCCTGTCAGGGCCTACTTGTAATTATTTGGGCTTGTCATGCGGTCATATGTACATGGCTATAGGCAGGTACTATACAGAGTAATTAAAAGCTGATGTTAAACCTCTAGTTTTTCTTCTGATGTGTACTAAGCTTCCAATTATGCTCGAGGAATTTTGAGCGCTCAGGAAGGGACTGATGTTGCTGATATGAGGTTCTGCTATTTAGAAGAATTTATCTCGGAATGACAATGTTATCTTACATTACAGTTAGGCAACAGCAGACAACACTCCTACACAAGACCGAAGTCAAGAGTTCATAAAGTGTGGTATAGGATCTCCAGTTTCATCTCTGTTAGAAGAGGCATCGAATCAGGTCGTCTGAAACCACCTTAAACCAGTTCCTGGGGTAAATCTTGATTTGGGCATGGGGAGCTTTCTGCCTACAGTTCCATGAGTTAGCAAATGCGTGTCTCCTTTAGAGGTGAACTGTTAAGCTATATAGCTATATACAAACTGTACACGTTGGTTCACAAATTAGCAGTTATTAGTCAGACTGTACATAGCAAAACAAACCGAGCTTAATGGTGCTATGCGTCCCAAAGTCAACCTGTGTCCAGATTCAAGGGCTGACCCCTAATACAGGTTCCCTGTTTAAATATGTAGCCCAGTAAACTAAATTAAATGTGCCGAACAAAACTGGGAAAACTATTCTGGACATTCTGTCGATTTTGCTAACACTGTTGAAGGTTTTCTTGGCTTCAGCTGGCTTGTTCTCCGGCTTCTTGTTGGGCTCGGGCGTGGTTGCACTCTTGGAGATGGTGGAGAGCACTGGGTCTTTTGAAAGATTCGGGGCATAATTGGCGACAGCCACTGCATAGGCATTGTTCTGTATCATGACGGTGGCCTTCTCTTTTTTCTATTGAAAAATACAAGAATTAACAGAATGTGGGTTGAGTCCGCTTCTTAACATTTTTCAAACTCCAGTTCAAATTCTTAAGAAAAGTATCTTGGTAAACATCATTATCCATCAAAAAGAAGGAATTTAGGGAAATAAATAAAAGGAGTTCATTAAATCCTGAAACCATGAGAATGATGAAACCCTCAATGGTACCATTTTCCTGGAGAGCCATTTTTTTTTGCTCACATGGAAAAATGCAACTTCAATAAATGATTCAACAATTTTGACTGTTACAAGTAACTCAGACATTTGNAAATGCAACTTTAATAAATGATTCAACAATTTTGACTGTTACAAGTAACTCAGACATTTGTTGAATGAATGAGTGAATGAATTAGTGGAATGTAGAAATATTTTAACAAGAGGAATGATCATCTACAGTGAATCATCTCAGATTCTGAGTAAAAAAAATTAATTTTCTTAACTTGATAACAGTATTTTCCCCTTCATGTCACAAACAGCAATGCTTTACTCAGATGGCGAAAAATCATAACCATCTACAGATGGCAGTGTAATAAACACTAAAAACATTAGAAGGACGATAAAATACAAAGTTTTTCATTTTTGCTAGCTCACTCACAACCTGTTTCTCCTTATAATCCCCAGTTCAGTTCTCACCAACTCTAGTTGGGGTCACTCTTATCTCCTGCCTGGATGACTGGATATTCCTGTGCTATCTCAGCTTGGCTTGACCTTGTCCAATCACCACATGCACTCACTATATTTTTTTAAGACATAAATTGGATCATGTCACTCTTCGGCTTAAATCCCTTAAATACTATGTTATGGAACTTAGAATAAAATCAACACTTCTTAGCATGGATTTTTTTCTTTTGCTTATTATATAACAGTCCTACTGAAATAGCTTTTTTTTTTTTTTTTTCCCCAGAATACTTCCTTGCTTGGTGCCTTTGGCCCTGCTACTTCCTCAGCCTGGAATGGCTTTCCCCCATCCTGATTTTCATGTGACCCATTCCCTCTTGCACGCTGATCTTGGTGTAAATGTCATTTCCTCAGAAAGGCCTTCCTTAACCACTCTACCTAACGTAGTCCCTGTTCCCATTCACGCTCTTTCGTAACACCCAGCTTATTTTACTCCCATCACGGCATTTTGCCAAATGTGTAAATTCCTTCTTTAGTTGCGTGATTATTTTACTGGCATCTTCTTTTCTCATTTGAATCTACGTTCAGTGAAGGCTGCTCCTGGCTTGTTCACCGTTACCACCTTAGCACCTTGAACGATACCTTCCAAGAGGTAGGCACGTAATATGTAACTGAATTCATGAAACCGGAATATATCAACAGTATTTACCTACATTTTTATACTAATATAAATGTGTTGTTAGTTATTAAAATGCAAACAAAACTGAGCCAGCAATAAATTATGCAAAGTAGTGTATAGTATAAATCAACAGACTTAGAGGACCAATTGGCCTAGAACAGAATTTCAAGTATCAGTTATTTTGAGTTAAAAATTCTCAAAATATTCAAGTAAAATAAGATACAAAGGGGCCTCTGAAAGGCCAGGAGGATCTGAAAACAGGACTGCATTTTCTGTCCTTCGCTGGCATCGGGCTTTTCCCTCTCGTTTCCCCTTGCTGCTCAGACATTCTTCCAGGCCTGGCTGGAGCATAAAAGAAAGTTGGGTGAGGGATTACCATTTATATCTTTATAAAAAGCTAAAAAATAGCCTTTCTTCAGTAGTGACCTATGTAGTTACCATGTTACAAATGGACGGCAATGCTGAGATGAGAGCTGACACCTTCTGAGCACTAGCACGGTTCAGGTTGAATGGTGAGCCTAAGGGTGTCATCCGTGACCAACTTCACTGCTGGGTAAGAAGGAAGTTCTATTACTAACCCCAGGTTACAAATTCGGAAAGGGAACATGACCAGGTCTCTCGTCTACTAAGAGGATGAAAAAGCACAGAAACTTAGATGTGTGTGACTTCTAACCTCTGCTTTAAACACCAGGCAATGCGACTTTCAGTCTGAGGAAGCTGTTGAACTGGGGAGAACTTTTTACTAAAATAGTCCTATTGAAGTTTATGTTACTGGGTCAATTTTCTAAAAGGACTCTTTAACTCATAAAGTTAAACACTATATGTAACATATAGTGTTTATATTATTTCAACTATACCTAAGCATCATTTAAAATGATTTCAAATTGCACTGATAGAGAATTTGGGCGTTGAAAATACTTCTTCACATCTCCTTGCTTCAGCTTCTAGTTTGATTAAAAAAGGAGATAATTATACCAAAGCCATATCGAACTATTATGAGAATCAAATGAACTAATACATGTATTTGAATCACAGTGAAAAAGTTTGTTAGTGGAAAGTAGTAAAAATCATAATTCATTTACAAGCCAGACAATGATTACTGGCATATAAGACGTATAGAAAATGAATTTTATATTTTTGGAACTGTTCAACTGTACAGAGGAGCTCAAGGAAGGTTTTGTAGAAGAGGGACATTTAAGTTGGGCTAGGAATTATGATGTATGGTTTAAACTTTAGACAAAAAAACCCATAAAACATCCATGTTGTTTCTTACAAGGGGAGTTACAGATTGAACTCTATACTAACTCTGGCAAGAACCCTTTTCACCCCCTTCGACTGTAAATAAATTCACAGGCGATACCAAAATTATGTCACAAACTCTAGAGCAGAGGCACTAACAACTCAGAACACCAGAATCCTTACTCACTGTTTCATTAGACTTTGCCACCTCCATAGCCCACAGGTTTTAAAAACATAAAATATCCATAAACGAATTAAGGTTACTTTCACTGCCAACCTAAATCTGTATCCCCTCCTGTGTTCCCTAACCTGTGACTGGCACCGCAATAAAGCCAGGAACCGGTAATCAGCCCACATGGGTCCCCTGTCAGCTACATTTCACAGGGACTCAGCTCAGAATCCTCTGTGGGGACATCACTTCCAGCGTCAATAATTTCCCTTTAAATATGCTTCCAGTGCCCGGCCGGGCGTGGCTCAGCAGCTGAGCAGCGACCTAGGATGCGGGAGATCAGGGTTCGATTCCCGGTCAGGCCACAGGCCCGGGTTGCGGGCTCCATCCCCAGTCAGGGGCGTGCAGGAGGCAGCCGATCAATGACTCTCTCATCATTGATGTCTCTCTCTCTCTCCCTCTCCCTTCCTCTCTGAAATCAATAAAAACGTATTTAAAAAATAAAAAAATACATATACATTAATGTATATGCCTGTCTATATATGGCATTTTTTTCCTTCCACTTGATTGTAAGCTCCTTGAAAGCATAGACTATGCAATGCAGAGCTCCTAGCAGGCTCTAAAACTGTTTGCTTAATGGTAAATGAATGGCAGATACTAGAATGATTACTCTGATTATATATATATATACACACNTATATACACAAATGTAATATATACAAACTAGGTTTTTATAGAGTACAATATTTTTNCACACACACACAAATGTAATATATACAAACTAGGTTTTTATAGAGTACAATATTTTTTATTAGATTAATAGAAACAGATTTCAGTAGTTTATTCTACAATTCTATTATGTAATTCTCCTGGAAGTTCCCAATTTCACCATCTATAGATGTAGGCAACTGGGAAATCATAAAATTAACTCAACTATAAAACTCATATAAGTGGGAAGGGGGATACTATGGCTTATGAGCAAATTCAGTAAATGATGTATTTTTATACACTACTTGGGGAAAATGTAAATTATGCTGGTGTAAAATTTGTTGGTGTTGCTACTGAAGTGAAATGGAAAGGAAACATCACTAAAATTAATTAAATCCTATTTTAGAAATGATGTTTTATAGAATTCAGAATATTCTGAGCTTATTACTTTATCTGAGTTCTGAATATATTTTAAAACCTCAAGTCTGGAAATTTTCTGATTACAGAAATCTAAATGTCTCACATCATGGTGGCAAACCAATCTTGGTTTCCTCACAGTATTAGGTAAAATAATGTGTTAATAGCTTGAGCAATTTCTCTAGTTAAAATATAGAAATGACCTGGCATATAAATAAAAATAACCACCACAAGGTTTTAGAGTTGGAAAGAATCTCAGATCTGTCCCTTACAACAAGGAAATGGAGCTTTCATAAATGTAACTCTAAACATAACAGGCTTTGGAGAAAACACCAGGTCTCCGATGTGGTAAATCTATGCTGTTTCTACATCCCATGTTGCTTTTTTACAGTCATTGTGGCCACTAGAGAGCCCATTACTTGCAAAACAGCAACACACTCCCTGGCCAGACAATGGCATTAACTATCTGCTAACCATCCTCACTGAGAAAAGTGATACTTACAGAAGATCGTTTGAAGGTTACACAGTCCATCCACTTCTCTAAGTACTCTAAAGTCTTTCCTTGGATTAAACTGGGCCATGAGAAAGCTATATACTTGGACCATATTAGCTTAGCTCCTTGGAGAATTGCCTTCACTGAGTTGTATGTTAATGTAATGCCTTCAGCTTTTATTGAAGGGGACTACAAGAAACATCAATATGAAATTCATTACTGCGTTTATTGGGAAAATGTTGACATTACCACTTGCAACAGCACCCAGCTTTCCCTAATATAAAACCCATATGATATTGTTTTTTAAGAAGAATTCAGTGTAGGAAATCTTTTTTTCTGAGGAAATTTATCTTTCCATTTTTTGATTAAAGAAATATACCACCCCCCCACCACCACCATGGTTTACTGTGGTAACCAAGAAACTCGGAATTTGAAACTTAGCTATTCTAGCTACGAACTGCAGTTACTGTTCTGGCCCAAATGGTGGAAAAATTAGCAGTCTATTGTCCTTCATTTGGATTTTCTATTTATATTTAAATATTATTTTATAGTAATTTAAGTACATGCATTCTTTTGGTAAACCGCCTGAAATGCTTTTGGAACAAGGCAGGATGTTTAAAAAATACAAAGAAATCAATAAAAACACTTGG